ATGTATGTATGCCTGCATAACTCTGCATGTAAAAACCCTAAACCCTAAGCCCGAAGGCAAAAGAAGCGGAGCGAGCTCTTAAACCCTAAACCCTAAACCCCTAAAGCCCTCAACCCTAAACCCTAAATCCTTAACCCTAAACCCTAAATGCCCTAAACGCCCTTAACCCTAAACCCTATAAGCCTTGAACCTTCAACCCTAAGCCCTCAACGCCCTAAACCCCAAACCCCTAAACCCTAAACCCTACACGCCCTATACCCTTAACCCTACTCGCCCTATACCCTTAACCCTAAGCCCTTAACCCTAAACCCCAAACCCCTAAACCCCAAACCCCTAAACCCTAAACCCTCAACCCGAAACCCTAACACCTGGGAGTTTCCAAAAAGTAGGGGTACCTTATTTTGGCTTACCCTAAGGGTCCATGTTTAGGGGTTTGGGGTTGAGGGTTTAGGGTTTAGGGGAGTTTCCGAAAAGTAGGGTACCTTATTTTGGGGTCCTTATGATAAGGATCCTACTATTTAGGGTACTATATTAGGGTCCCCTATTTTCGGAAACCCCCACCTTTTCAGGAGACGCCGACCTTCCAAAGCCCCCAAAGGAGGCGTAAAAATAGGGGCCGAAATAGTTAGAATAGGGTTTTTTTGGGGGTATATCAGGGCTCATAAGGGTCCCTTTAAAGGGGTATAGGGGCCTTTATAATTAGAAAAGGGGTTTGGGGCATATTATCCTAGAAATATCCTAAGGAGCCCCTGAAACCTCATCCTAATTATGAGGGTTCCTTCAGGGGATCTATAGGGGTTTCCACAAGGGTACTGTAAGGGTTCTATGTGGGTAGTTCTCTATATTAGGGTCCCTTTCAGGGTCCTTTTATAAGGGTGCCGTACTATACTGAGACCCAAAAAGGACCCTGATTTAGAGAACTGCCCATATGTCGCTGCTGCATCTCCGCTGTAGTTTACGGGTTGAGGGTTTACCCAAAACCCTAAACCCTAAGCCCTAAATCCTAAACCCTAAGCCTACCCCTTAGTTAGAGCCGAAGTAGCCCACTATTGAGGACCATAAGGCCTATGTCAAAGGGCACTAGGGGGGGTGCCGATAGGGGGTTTAGGGTTTTAGGGTTTTAGGGTTTCGGGTCTAGGGTTTAAGCTTTAGGGTTTACGTAGGGTTTCGGGGTTTTGGGGTTTCGTTATTTCGTGCTATCGCGGAGGCTTCCTCAGCAAGTACTGTCCATGAGCCGAGTGATTCTGGACGTGCTGGTCACGTTGCTGCGGTTCTTGGGTGCAGGGATAAGGGCTTAGTGTAGATTTTGTAGTTCAGCGGTCGGGGTGGCTGCGCTCCAGGGTCCAAACCAGCACAGGCGCTCAGGTGAAGGATCCTAGCTTGAGCTCCTTCAGGGTTTAGGGTTTAAGGGTTTAGGGGTTTAGGGGTTTCGGGGTTTAGGGTTTAGCCTGAGCCCTAAATTTTATATCCCTACTACTATGAGAACTTAGCTTGAGGAGGCGGACATTTTCAGAAAGAGGGCTGTGTTGACGACTGCGGTATAGGGGCATGAGGTCGGGGTTGTACTAAGGGCTTGGGAGTGGGTAGGTTTTTTTGTCGCACCTACGAGGGCTGAAATGGTTTAGGACATGAGGTACCGAAGGTTCACACGTCTCGCTTCGAGCTCCCTGTGCTGGAAACCGACTTTTACGTGGGCCCGGAGTTTTCGCAGCTGCCGCCTATTCATCGATTCAGTGCAGAAATATGGGGGGCCAAGTTGCGTGTCCAAGCTCCCCTAAACCCTAAACCCTAAACCCTAAACCCTACACCCTGAACCCTAAACTCTCTAAACCTCAAACAAGCTTTCTAAACCTCAAACACTGAAGCCCTAAAGTCAAAGAACCGACAAATCTTAAACCCCAGACAGCCTTAAACTTAGTAACTAGTAGAGTGGGTAACCCTTAGGCGCTCTGGGTACTATACCTAAATAGTCTCTAAGGTTTGCCTTTAACCCCCCGGGATACGGGGCATGTAAGCTTGTCGTGGCAAGAACTCTCCTAAACCCAAAGCCGTAAGCCCCTTAACCCTAAAACCTAAACCCTAAGCCCTAAACCCCTTAACCCCCAAACCAATATAGATCCCCTAGAGAGCCTTGTATGGAGCCCTTCTAAGCAGCCAGCTTTCAGTCATTAAGGCACCATAGGACTAGAAAGGGACAGGGTTTAGGGTTAAGGGCTGATGTTTGAGGGTTTAGGGTTTTAGGGTTGAGGGTTTAGGGACCTTTGGAGCACCCAATGAGCTCCTCTTCGAACCCCTCCCCGAAGCTCGAGGTAGGCACAGGACATGGGCCTCTTTAGAAGTTTGATCGGCTCCCGTTTTAAAGGGTTCACAGGGTTAGAAGGGTTATTAATATATGGTTCATGTAGGGGCCTACGTGGTCGAGTTGGGCTCTGGAGTATGTTATGCTAGAGTTTCAGTAAGGGGCCCTATGGAATACGACTCTGCCTGAGTGCAAAGGACACGGCTTGCCCAGCCCTTTGTAGATGGGGGTTTCCGAGTACCCTAAATAGTAGGATCCTCATTACACCAACATAAGGTACCCGAATTTACGGAAAGCCCCAGATAGGTCCAAAGTACCCTAAATAGTAGGATCCTTATTATAAGGACCCCAAGATAAGGTACCCGAATTTTCGGAAAGCCCCAGATAGGTCCAAGGTAATGGAGCCGGACCTCAGGCGTGAGGCCCTGTGACAGAATCTCACTTGATCGAAGACATTTTCAGGTGGATAGCTACTGTTTTCGGAGCCTTATAGAAGGTCTATATATACCTTACAGAAGCCTTATAGAGGCCCTATATACCCTAAACTCCCCACCTGTAGTTCCCTTGAACTTGAGAGGATTCCCTGTAGGGCATTTCGGGCTGAGGGCGTTTGGGGGGTCGAGTACGGCGTTTAGGGCCTGGGAGTAGAACTGCGAGTTCTCGCGTCCAAGTTTGTGAGGTTGCCAAAGTACCCTAAGGGTCCATGTGCCCAACTAGCAGATACTTTGGCCTTAAAGTAGTCCCTATCTGGGTACTTTGGGGCCAAAGTATCTGCTATTTGGGTACATGGACCCTTAGGGGTAGGGTTCCGTGGAACGGGCATCGTATAGCTAGCTGGTACGCAGGGTTTATATATGAATAGGATAAGCAGCGGAAGCCGCATGGAACCCCAACTATGTCCTACTTGCTTCGAGTCTTTTGGGAACCGACAGGCGAAGAACTGGGTGTGGACGTAAAGCTTAACAACCCAATAAGTCGATGGATGTAGTCATCGATAGGTCGATAAGCAGAGCAGGTTTGCGCACATAGCTCCTTACATGCACGGGAAAAGCACGTGGAGAAGCGTAGGGCACAGAGAGAGAAAGGGAGGGAGAGAGAGAGAGCGAGACAGAGAGGAGACCGCACGCACACATCCATCTATTTATCTATCTATCTGATCTATCTATCCATCTATCTAACTATCCACACCTATCTATCTATCTATCTATCTATCTATCTACCTCCCTATCTATTTATCTTTCTGTCTATCGATCTGTCTATCTGTTTGTTTGTCTATTTATCTATCTATCTGTCTATC